GTCATCAAGCAATGTCATCTCATGTCCTCAAGCAATGTCATCTAATGTCATCAAGCAATGTCATCTCGTGTCATCAAGCAATGTCATCTCATGTCATCAAGCAACGTAACTTTTGTAAAGCAAGTGTGCAAGCCACCATAAAACAGTGCCAGATGACACTCAGTTTATTATCGCTGCACGAGTCCAAATTTCTGGCATAATGTTGATTTCCCGTGACATGACCGCGTCTCGCCTCTTCTAATTCAGCTCACCCATGCAGGAAATTCTTGAGGTTCTCAGCATAGGTCAAATAATTAACTCTCATCTGAATTTGTTCCGTCACCTGTACAGTTTTTCAGAATTTTTATAATTGGAGTATTTCTCTTAAACTCTATTTTTTATTGCATTGTATTTTGTATTTTATTTATTACTTTATTAGCAAAAATTGTTTTTAATATTATTGTTTTTGTTAAAATTATTATGAATTTCAAACTGTTTCTGGCCTAGGTTCCTAGGAAAACAAAAACGGAAAAATACATATATATATTTATATATATGTGTTACTCCTAATTTAAAAAATGCCAATTCATGAGTGCGTATATCTGAAAGAGCATTATTATTAAAACATTATTGCTTACTAATTCTTATGCTCGTACGAGTTACGCACCTCCAGCCTGGAGTGAGCGGCTCCAACCTCAACCTTGAGACGCGCAGTCTCCATTGCTTCAGTGCTGGTTTCCGGAGTCCTGAAATAATTATATCATTGAGTTATTATTTATTGAGTTTCATTAATTATTGTATCATTGAGTTAAAGTTAAGAGCACACCCATGAAGTTACTGGAGTAGCAAGTTATTAAACTAATGTGAGGTATTAAATTTATTACAATTTCGATAGTATGAGCAATATCGCGTGATTACACTGATAAATATTAAATATATTTATATTATACGCCTTTATTGGGTCGTAAATCTTCACCCCAAGCAAACCCTGCACTGCATAATAACCAACGGATGTGTACAACTGTACATATCCCTGTTAACCCACCTGGTGACACAATGAGCGGCCGTCAACACGGAGGCGATGCCAGTGGCCGTCAACCCACCTGGTGACACAATGAGCGGCCGTCAGCAGGTACACGGAGGTGATGCCAGTGGCCGTCAACCCACCTGGTGACACAGTGGGCGGCCGTCAGCAGGTACACGGGGGTGATGACAGTGGCCGTCAACCCACCTGGTGACACAGTGGGCTCGTAGCAGACTCGCCACCCACGGCCAGCGGTTGCGCGGTCTATCGAAGTCTTGGGTGTTGAGCGCCGCGCCTGTGCTGGCGTAGCTCGTACGGCGACCGCAGACTGGGGAGAGAGAGGGTGTGGTGATGGGCGCAGAGTGGCCAGGGGCGAGTGGTGAGGGGGAGAGTGGTCAGGGGTAGAGTGTTGATGGGCAGAGTGGTCAGGGGCAGAGTATTGATGGGCAGAGTGGTGAGGTGCAGAGTGGTAAGGGCAGAGTGTGCTGAGAGCAGAGCGTGGTGAGGAGCAGTGTGTGGTGAGAAGCAGAGTGCGATGAGGGGCAGAGTGTGGTGAGGGGCAGGTTGATGAGAGGCAGAGCGGTGAGGGGTTGACTGGTGAGGAGTAGAGTGGTGAGGGGCAGAATGGTTTTGGACTTTCCTTGTAGACGCGGTCGGGATTGGACAACTCACTATTGGGTCTTACTGAAGTAAATCGTTGACGATTATTTTTCTTTGTCAGCCAGTACATAATTCAGCCCAAGTGATGTACAGCCCAAGTGATGTACATAATTCAGTGTTTCGGCGGGAAATGAGGGAAGTCAGTGAAAAAAAGAGTATAAATTGTTCAGGGTGAAAGTGTTCAGAAAATTAATCCTTTATATATAAAAATACTTGGAGAAAAAAACCACTCAGTAGAATGATATTATATCATTCAATACATGTAGCAGTGAAGTGTTAAGAGAATTAAGCTGTATTAAGCAAGTGAAGCTGCAAGTGTGCCTAAAGCCGAAGGTATTTATGACTTCCTGACGGGCCCACATACAGTGTGGTATGCGAGCCCAGCGTTTAGAGCTCAATGTTTTCCGGTCTGTGTCAGAGCTCAGTGTAATCCAGTGATATCCAGTGAAATAGTATAATTAGAAAAATGAGTTAAGATGGCCAAGTGTGCTGTGATGCAACCCCCTATGGGTAGTTCGTGCATAATTTGCAAGGAACCTGTAATGCGGCACATGTACTGCATTCCAGCAATTCCCGGAACTTCGTTCATCTAAAACAGTGGTTCCCAAAGTGGGCGATATCGCCCCCCTAGGGCGGTGAAAAGATTTTGGGGGGCGAAAAGGAAGAAGAGGGCGGTAGGGGGGGCGATAGGGGGCGGTAGTCCGAAGTCAATGTCAGAAGTTCGAACGTTTGTTTTGTTAGACGATTTGTACACAACACGTGCAGCACATAACTCCCAGCGATGGTTTTTTTCTGTTTTTTTTTTTTTTTAACCTAGCTCTCCTGGGTTTGGCCGGACTCGAGGCCGGTCTCACGTCCAATTTTCAAATTCAATGATCAAGGAATATCTCTCAAACTAATGAACTTGACTCGATGAAACTTGGTACACGTATTCATTAGGACCTAACGGTAATGTTTTGCTCGTGAAAATTGTTTGAATTTTACCATCGTTTGTTTTTGCCATATTTATATGGCAATACGGCCGAAATTTACAGTGATCAAGTAATTTCTTCCAAACTACTGAACAGATTCGAACGAAATTTTGAATTTACAGTTCTAACTAAAAATTTTTCGATTGTGCCTTCGTTCGCGAGTTTTTTTTTTTCATTTCACCTTCATTCGTGATTTAAACAGCAATTCGTGCTTAAATTCGCAGTAATCAAGAATTTTTTCCAAACTACTGAACAGATTTGAACGAAGCTTAATATTTAGATACCTAACTTCAGCAACGGCGATGCTTACATTTTTTTCTTTTTGCCTTCGTTTGCGAGTTATACGGCTATACGTACACCGATTCTGATTTATAGAAGCCATCGATCGACCGGTAGAAAAGCCGGTCGTTCCTCCTGTATCTGTATAACTCGCAAACGAAAGCAAAATGAAAAAATTGTCACGAGCTAAACATCACCGTTGAGAGGTTATGTATTTTTATACAAACTTTCGTTGAAATTTGTTCTGTAGTTTAGAAGAAATTTCTTGATTCGCCGCGAATTTAAGCGACAAATTATCCGGCCATACAGGCCGAATATAAGGAAGAGTGAAATCAAGAATGACGGTGAAATTAAGTAAACTCGCAACCGAATGTAAAATCGAAAAAAAGTAATAAGCTAAAAAATCACCGCTTTGTAGTTAGGAATGAATATTCAAAATTTCGTTCAAATCTGTTCAATAGTTTGGAAGAAATTCTTTGATCAATGCGAATTTCGGCCTGTTTCACAATATACGCGCAACTCACAAATGAAGGTGAAATTAAAAAAAAAATTACTAGCTAAACATGACCGTTAGGTTCTGATGAATACGTGTTCCAAGTTTCATAGGGCTGCGTTCATTTGTTTGGGAGATATTTTCTTGATAATTGAATTTGGAGATTGGTCGTGAGACCGGCCACGAGTCCGGCCATAAATTCGCCCGCGACATCCTGGCTTCTAGTGCTGAAACAGTTAAAACAGCTGACAAACATATTGGTTCACTAAATGGGGTTCTATTTGTGAAATACACATTTGTGTTAAACCTTTATCTTTTAAAATTACAGCGTCCTAAATTTCAAGAAAGTGGCGTATGTCTGTGGGGGGCGCTAGAAATTCACTAGGGAGCCAAAGGGGGCGCCAGCCTGGAAAAGTTTGGGAACCACTGATCTAAAATGTGCAGTATTACCATTCTATTGCCTTGTTCGGCTCGATCAGACCCGAGTCTCCTATAAATGTAAAAACTGCGTGATGAGTATTTGTAAAAGTTTCAAAGAAAGCGAAACTAAGCTTATCGCAGCCACGGAAGAAAAACCTAAACTGGTGGGTTCCGTGCCCGGTGATGCTGGCCATACCTCCCCCTGTGCCAGCTCCCCTTCCCATGAAGCAACTGTACCCATGCCTCATCCCCTACACCCTCCCCCACCCTTTCCCTTACTCCACACCCAACCTCTACCGTCAGCCTTACTCTTGCCTTCAGCCCTTTCAGTACCCCAACATCTCATCCTGCCGTCTTTCCCCTCTCTGATCTAGGCTCAAACGCTCAAACCACCTATGCTTCGGCCACCGCCAAAACCCCCGAGGAGAGGAAAACCCCGTCAGAAGATGGTTTGACATCACCCCTTCCAACTCTTACATCCCTTCCATCCCTACCATCCACCCAAGTTGCAGAATTACCCTCAAGAAGGCCAACAGCAAGGAAAGATGTTTGATGGAAATATCTGAAAAAATGTGAACACGGGAGAAAGGGCGGTGGCTGCAGATTTTCACATCCCAGACTGTGCTATCAATTCTGTACCTACTGAAGTGGGCATCCACATGGGTGCAAAAAAAGAAAGGATTGCACATACTATCACCCAAGCTGTGCTGGAGTGTTATGAACAAAGAGGATTGCACAAATGGCGACTGTTCGTTTCTTCACATAAAACCACGGAAACGAATGGAAGAAGCGCATGGATATATCCCCACAAAGAAGGGCTTTTGCTGGACGCCATGACCCACCCACACACTCACAGGGCCTATGCATCACAGGGAAGACTGGGCAGCGATAGGGTGGCGGAAAACATTGATAGAAGGGGCGGTGAAGACGGTAGTTTTTGGAGGAGTGACGGCCTAGCTACTAAGTGAGTGGCCCAGGACAGGGACGCGCGGGAGGGGGGGGGGCAAGAGGTTACCCAGTGCTTATTTAGAGATAAGGAAGCAAATACAACAACAGATGCAGCAACTGGAACTAATACAACTCCAGATGAAGGAACTACTGACCCAGGGACACTTGACAGAGTTGAATTCACCAAGAAGGGGAAAGCCTGACATTCTGCAGGCCAACATCGAGGGGGCTTTTCCCACAAAGGGCGCGTCACAAGATTGGCGTGCTGAGAGACATGGCCGACGAGGGTAGGATCTTTATGATTGAACTAACAATGTCGCATCTAAGAAAATATATCATGGATGCCGAAATTGCAATGGAAGGATTCCCACACTACCGCACGAACCGGAAAGAATGGAGGAATAACGGAGTTCCCATTTTTGAAACTCCCTCGCAAGGAGCACGGTGGAGTTAAGATCGGAAAATGGTAACTCGGATGGCTTTGTTTATACACGCTACTCCACACAAAAGAACTCGACCTCTGTGTTGCCATATCAGTGTATTAAGCGAGTGAAGCTGCAAGTGTGCTCGAAGCCGAAGGTATTTATGACTTCCTGACCAGCTCGAATGGAGGGGGGAGAGTCTGACAATCTGCAGGCCAACATCGAGGGGCTCTTCCCACAATGAGCGCGTCACAAAATAGGCGTGCTTTATGATTGCACTAACGGAGTCGCATCGAAGAAAATATATCCTGGATGCAGAAATTGCAATGGAAAGATTCTCACACTACGCTGGGCTCGTATATTGCGCTGTGGGCCCGTCAGGAAGTCATAAATACCTTCGGCTTCGAGCACATTTGGAGGAAGAAAGGAGGCCGCCTACTAGTCCAGCGAAAAATTCCAACATAACCCTTAAAGAAATAGACATCAGGGTGGCAAGACTGGGTGACCCAGCCCCAAGCCTGTTAATAGGGGGGACTTCAGTCTCCCCACGTATCCGTTGAACAAGCCCTGGCGGCTTGGAGGTTGATGACCGAGACAGAAGTCAAGGAGCCAAGCTAGTGAAGTTTGCAGCTGAACACTTGCTCAGTCGGCAAGTTCGGCTGCCGACAAGGGAACACAATAACCTCGATCTCTTTTTTACTAATAATGAAAGATATGTGTTTGACGTTCGTGTTGAAGAAACCTCACTGGCCGACCACCGCCTGATGATGGTGGATACGACAATTATGGTTAACAGCGATTAAAAAACAGCAGCGATTAAATTAAACAGCAGCGATTAAACAAACAAATAGCTGAATCCCCTAGTGACCTAATGGGACCGAGACTAGTAGAGAGCTTCACAAGGAAACTGAACGCAGGTTGCAGAACTCGCACAGGACCCGCACTGAAAGTTGCAGGACTCGCAAAAGGTGGCAGAGCAAGCTGCCGAGGAACAAGTATATAGTTGAGGTCATCAGAGAGAAACCCAGGTATTTTTTTTTAAATACGCACAGTCAAAAACTAAAATAAAGACGCTAGTGGGCCCGCTGAAGGAAAACGATGTACTTGTCGGAGAATGTCCCAGGGAATTTGTGAGTTACTAATATCGCAGTTTGAATCAGTGTCCATTAACCCCCGTTACTCAGGACAGGAGAACGAAATTGAAGTTCTCCAGGTGGAAAGGGATTGGAGACGACCGAGTTTGGGACATGCTCCCCAATCTTGAGTGCTCCCCAATCTTGAGTACTGCTGCAAGCTTTGGGTGCCGCTCAAGGGGTGCGCGGTGCGGAAGCTGGAATTAGTTCAGCGGACCTTCACGGCTAGGTCCAGCGGAACTGGAGCTGAATTACTGGGACAGGCTGAAACACCTGGTACTGATCTCACTGGAGAGGAGAAGAGAGAGGTACATCATATTGTACATTTGGAAGATGATAACCAGACTGGCTACCAACTTTGAAAGTGAGACCTACAAAATAGTGACATATTGTAACGAAAGGAGGGGGAGACTGAACACGATCCCCCCATTTAATAATCGTGCCGCAGCCAAAGTACAGACTTTTCTGGAGGGATCACTGTCCGTGGCAGGACAACGACAGTTTAATGCCTTGCCAAAGGTGCCGAGAAGAGGGGAGTTTACCCTTGCGTCATTCAAGTGACGATTGGACAAGTGGTTAAGAAAGATCCCGGATTATACAGTTATGGGAAAATACCCTCAGCAAGTGACAAGCAACAGCATCTTGCATCAGCTGGCCCAGGGGAAGGCAGCTAGACTGAACACGTTCGACGATTTATCCGGAACCCGAGGGCGGGGTTCCAACTTGCCTATCGACGACTTGGAGACGGAGGATGACGAAGGCGGCGCATCAACGTGACCGTGGACTACAAAGTCCTAAATTCATCACAAGGATAGGCAGAGTGTGAGGAGGGGCTGATTGTGGTGAAGGGCAGAGGGTGGCTATGAGCAGAGTGTTGTGAGGGGCAGAGTGTGATGAGGAGCAGAGTGTGGTGAGGGGCAGAAAGTGGTAAAGGACAAAGAGTAAACAAGGCAATTGGAAGACAGAGGCTGAGGATATCACGTGGGATGGAAGCCTCGGTTATACTCTGGTATTGCAAGACTGTGACTTATCAACAATAAATTCAACAATTGGCCGGATATCAAGAGCACGAAAGCGGTAACTTGATAATTTTACCTTCCGAGTTGAGGTAGTACGGCTGACATAGAATAGCCATCTTCTTTTCAAGCCATCCGTCCTCCTGTACGAACGGTCTCCAGAATCCGTCATCGTGACATCTTTAAAAAATAACAAATACTCAGAAAGTTTATATTAAAGCGTGCAATATAATATATAATGACAATAAACCAAGAGTGTGAATGGTAACAAGGAGGGGGCTTACACAGCTCTTTCTCTGGAGAATGTTTCATCAGTCTATTAATATTATTTAGTGTAGTTAGGCAGAAGTTCTTCATTTATACAGGTTTGGTTGAAGACCAGAGCGTACTTTTTATTTACGATTTTCTTTTTGTTTTTTTTTCGATGAGCCGAACGAAATTTCTAGCTGGAGCTTGGAGATCAAAAAGCAGGTTACCGAATGACATTTTATTGCAGTGCGACGTTTCGAATATGTCAATATTCATTATCAAGCAAGTGAACAGTTATTACAACGCTAAAATTGAAATTTGGACATGACATAAGTTCATACAGAAAGTATCGTAGATACGGTTCAAAATCGAAAATCAAATTAATCCGAGAATAATTTCAACGTCCTGACGAATCCCGCGGTTTGCAAATTGATAGCAGGAGACTCGTCCTTAATGATGAGATCCTCCGCTATCGACAGTCTCGTTGTGTCGGGGCACCGCACGACGATGCTGGTGCAGGCCTCCAACGTGGCACGGGTGATGGTCTTGTTGTGGGCCTTCCGCGTATGATACTTTGGTCCTCCAGATTGCAGATGGCATGTGAGTCTGCGGCTCAATGTCGTGCTTGTCAAACCGATGTAATTTACATTTTAAATTACAATACATTATTTTAATAGTGTTCAATTACACTATTGAACACTATTAAACACTATTGAACACTATTGAACACTATTGAACACTATTGAACACTATTGAACACTATTGAACACTTTCAATAGTGTTCAATAGTGTTCAATAACCACTATTGAACATACTTATATCATTAGTCTGCTTAAATCGCAAGTTCACAAGGAATTTAAAAGCAAAGAAAACGCCAAGAAAATTCACCATATCGCATCAGCATCCCTCTCATGCGCGCCTCTTCTTTGATTATCTAAACCTCAAACATCCTTCAATCAAATTCACTATGGAATTAGAATCCAACAATTGCTTGTCGTTTCTCGATTGCAAAATCACAAAATCCGGCGGTCGTTTTCAGACTTCCGTATATCGAAAACCGACATTTACCGGCTTGGGTTTAAGCTTCTTTAGCTTCTGCTCGTTTCGTTTCAAATTAAATAGTCTCCAAACTTTGATATACCGTGGATATAGGGTGTGTTCTACCTTCCATAATATGCATTTGGAATTCGATTTCATTCGTAATATATTTCAGCTTAATGGTTTTCCATCGTGCCTTGTGTACAGTAAAATCAAACGCTTCTTATCTAACAAATTTTCTGAAACTGTGACTGAATGCGATAGTAAGAAAATTATTTATTGCACATTGCCCTATTTTGGTAGTGCGTCTGAAACTATGTCCAAAGAATTAAAAATGCTGTGTTTGAAATATTTCCCAAATATAAATTTGCATGTTATACCGGTAAATAATTTCAAAATTGGTTCTTTCTTCAGGTATAAGGACGTTATTCCTGCTCGGATGCGATCAAACCTGGTCTATGAGTTCTGTTGTGCACCCTGTGCATCTACGTACGTTGGAATGACGTCGCGTAACTTCTACATCCGGGTTTCTGAACACCGTGGCAGGAGCTATCGTTCTAACTTGCCTCTCGCCAAGCCTCTTCATTCTTCCGTGCGCCTCCATGCTGAACAGTGCGACGTGGCTGTATCTGAGAGTGATTTCAGGATACTCGGTTCCACTTCTGGCTGCTCGGATTTGAGAATTTTGGAGTCTCTACATATCTTCAAGCGAAAACCATGTCTCAATAATGCGTTTAGCTCATATAATCTGGAAATGGTAAATCGCTAGGATTTTATATTCTTGTCGTCCCCCTAAGACTAAGTTGTTCATAACTAGTCCTGTTTATTTCGATATAATGTTAGGTCTTGTTTAGGTTTTATGTCTGTCTTTGAATTTTGACTTTTAAAGTGATTTTATTCATTTTATTTTAGTCGAACTGATGATGGAGCTGGACTCCGAAACGTTATCAATATCGATATGGTGAATTTTCTTGGCGTTTTCTTTGCTTTCAAATTCACTATTGAACACTAGTGAACACTATTTGAAAGTGTTCAATAGTGTTTAATAGTGTTCAATAGTGTTGATGTAATTTACCATGCGGCTCAATGTTTGACAAGCACGACATTGAGCCGCAGACTCACATGCCATCTGCAATCTGGAGGACCAAAGAATCATATGCGGGAGGCCCACAACGAGACCATCACCCGTGCCACGTTGGAGGCCTGCACCAGCATCGTCATGCGGTGCCCCGACACAACGAGACTGTTGATAGAGGAGGCTCTCATCATTAAGGACGAGTCTCCTGCTATCAATTTGCAAACCGCGGGATTCGTCAGGACGCTGAAATTATTCTCGGATTAATTTGATTTTCGATTTTGAACCGTATCTACAATACTTTCTGTATGAACTTATGTCATGTCCAAATATCAATTTTAGCGTTGTAATAACTGTTCACTTGCTTGATAATGAATATTGATATATTCGAAACGTCGCACTGCAATAAAATGTCATTCGGTAACCTGCTTTTTGATCTCCAAGCTCCAGCTAGAAATTTCGTTCGGCTCATCGAAAAAAACAATAAGAAAATCGTAAATAAAAAGTACGCTCTGGTCTTCAACCAAACCTGTATAATATTATTTAGTAAACAATTCAGCAACATCACGCCAACCTACCTGAAATTTTCACCTTGAATAGATGGGTGATCACGAAGAAAGGCTATTTGCAGAAGATACTAATTATAAATTATTGTTTTAGATCATATGTGAATGAAATGTCAGCTCACAGAAATGACCTGTTCATGAATACAAGCCTGACCTGACAGTCATGTCTGCAGTCTCCCAGCACGTGGCCAGCACGACGCTTTGAGGCGGGACGGTGTCGCCAGCATCACATTCTGCTGGACTGAAAACGAACAATAAATAAGCAATACTAAAATGAAATTATAACTTATATGAATCAATGATATACAATTATACACAAATATACTTGGATACAGCACAATCAGTGCGATACGAGAAAGGGACGAGTTATTGGAAATTGCGATAACCTACTAAAAATTCGGTAAAAACAATGCGAACCGAAATGGTCATGATTAAATTAATAACATTTTCGCGAAAGTAAGAGAAAATACAATAACAGATCTAACCAATACGTTTGCCTTACTCTTCATTCAGTGATCCACAGGAGAGAACAGCCAAGCTCACATTACTCGTGGCGACGACGCTACATCCAGATACTGAAAGTAATAATTTTTTATTGTACAGATGCATCAGCAACGCTATCTTAACATTAAAAAATTTCAAACCATCATAAATTTGTCTATGAAAATTTTACCACAATAAAATGCTAGCCACACTAAATATTCGCAATTAAGTATTTTCTGGTGATGACGAATAATTTTTACCAGGCCTCGGCATCGTCGGTACATTCCTTTCGGTGGTCGATGAAGGCATCACGGGTCTTTTTTTATCAGGTATCGAGTTCTCCTGGAGCACGCGGTTGATGGCGCTGAGAAGCGGGTATTTGCCGGTGCCACACACGCCTCTGAAGTCGTCCGTGTCGACCGACCACACGCCAATCCCGTTCACACCGTGGCTGAGCGCAAGTCGAACCTGAAAAATGTTCTTTTTGAAATTTCATCGTCATCCGAGACGGCAAAGTAAGTTTTTCCATGACTGTTTCATACTTCGAGCGTTCAGAAGTCCATCTCGCCGCACAAACGCATGCCACATCCACAGCATTTTTAAAGCATTTAATTCCATTATTTTACGACATTAAATAAATATATACATGATAAGAAATTCGCGAAAGTTAGTCAATGTTTTTCTAATGTACCATGATCAGTGAATCCAGACCAAGCCCTCGCTTTACGACTCAAGATACATAATTTGAATCAGATGCTTGCCGTTAACACTGTTGTAGGGTTGAATTAAACCTTTTTTATTGTGTATTAGCCTGTCTCACAATAGCCGTACATCATATAATGATTTTGGATATTTATCTTTATTTTTTAATTTCTCTGTTTAATAAAAGGTTGCTTTGTCTTTGGTTTTAGTTAGCGGAGTTCCCGCTAACTGACAAGGTATCTTCGATCAGCGGCGGGTTGATTCGAGAGTTAATTTTTAGAGAGATGTACACGCGGACAGAGCTCTGAAGCACGTTACGCTGCTCTTGCCAATAAATGGTTTTGTTGAACGTGTAATTGTCTAACTTTAATAAACACTTAAACTGTGATCTGTGCCAAGTTTACCCTGAACCATCGGAACGAACGACCAGACCACATTTGGCGCCCAACGTTTTCATTTCTTCGAACTTGCGTCCTGTGGTTGCGCTGGTTTAGTGGTGCCGTGACTATCAAAATGTCAGAAAGTGACTAGAGTTCGCCACAGCGTGGGATGGCCAGTTAGAGTGAACCGAGACGTAAAGAATCTGCTGGGAATGCTGATCTCAGTGAGGTGATAAGGATGCAGAGTCTGTTCCTCCAGTTCTGCAATCCTGAAGTGAGAACTGCGCTATTGCAGGGTAGATTTGATGTTCCTGCTGAGGAAGCTACGCTGCTACAGCAGATAGACCAGTTCCGATGGATCTTTCTACCTGCTTGTGAAGTAAGTTCGTCGAAGTACTGTCAGGTAGCCGCCGGACATTTTAATGAGCTGTTGGCGAAGTCTCCCCGTAGATTTGTGATCGTGAAGGTGATTGTAAAGCTTCAATCAGAACGACTCCAATTAGATTCGATAAATTTCCACCCACGACTACCGCCGAACCTCAACAAAGGAGAAATGAAAGTAAAATTAACAAGTATCTATTAACCAGAGATAACTATACCAATAATAACCAACGGAACACTTCAACTAATTAACAATTTATAATATGAACAGATAACTACGAATAATAGGCACACGGAACTGAAGATATCCGTAACTTATAAAGAAACAATATGCTGAAGGCACAATAAGCTTAGGACGCAATATGCTGAAGGCAATACGCAGATGACACTATATGCTGAAGGCAATACACAGATGACAATATATGCTGAAGGTAATACACAGATGACACTATATGCTGAAGGCAATACACAGATGACACTATATGCTGAAGGCAATACACAGACGACACTATATGCTGAAGGCAATACACAGATGACACTATAATATATGCTGACGGCACACAGTACTGTAGTGTACAACAAAAAGATGCACAGCATCAGCTGTGAGTGAACACACAGTAGGTGTCTGGACCGGTAGAGACTTGAATGTGGCGGACACTTCCCTAGAAGCACCGCAGTCGTCGGCCTACGTAGGAGCCGTACTTGTTGGCCAGGCAAGAAATCGATCCTGCCAAACAATGGTGGTGAGCTACTTTAGTTATACTGACAAATAGCAACACTATTAATTACCAATTATTCAATTCAAATTAACGGTTCGGTTAACACTTATTGGAAAGTTAAAAAGCTGAATCACAAACACAGAATTAGCCTATCTTATATCTCCACTGCAACTCACCTACTAGGGACGCTACACAGTCACTAGAGCACAGTGAGAGGAAGGTGCGCTCCGACCAAGTCTCAACGAAACAATGAATGGGTATCCTAACGCGGACTTCAACCCAGTGATGCCACGTCAGCACACGCGACACGGTAGCCAACTTTACCGGTAACATTATACCGTATAACAAGAAATAATTTTGACCACAACAAAAAATATGACAATGGATGAATTTTCCCTTACAGTGATGTCATGAGCAAGTCCTATGCTGCATGGTATCTAACTTTAATTAACACTTTTAAACTGTGATCTGTGCCACGTTTACCCTGAACCATCGGAACGAACGACCAGACCACATTTGGCGCCCAACGTTTTTATATCTTCGAACTTGCGTCCTGTGGTTGCGCTGGTTTAGTGGTGCCGTGACTATCAAAATGTCAGAAAGTGACTAGAGTTCGCCAAAGCGTGGGATGGCCAGTTAGAGTGAACCGAGACGTAAAGAATCTGCTGGGAATGCTGATCTCAGTGAGGTGATAAGGATGCAGAGTCTGTTCCTCCAGTTCTGCAATCCTGAAGGGAGAACTGTGCTATTGGAGGGTAGATTTGATGTTCTTGCTGAGGAAGCTACGCTGCTACAGCAGATAGACCAGTTGCGATGGATCATACTACCTGCTTATGAAGTAAGTTCGTCGAAGTGCTGCCAGGTAGCCGCCAGACATTTTAATGAGCTGTTGGCGAAGTCTCCCCGTAGATTTGTGATCGGTGAAGGTGATGTTATGAGCAAGTCCTATGCTGCATGGTATAAGATCCTGGAATCTCTCGGACGCGGATTTTTGGAGGGATGTGTCGATAGCTAACCGACGTGTGCATTTTTCGAATGAAAATATTGGGGAAACTCAAGCACCGCGGAAACCCAATGCAGTGAACGAAGGATGTCAGCAAGGTGCCAGGGAGAAAATCCCATTTGTCAAAATAAAGGCTGGCCGCAGTATCTCTTCAGAAACGGTTTCTCGTAGGGCGGTTATCGAAACTGTAACCATTTCCGTCTGGAGGAAGATGCATCAGCTTCGGAAGAAGAAATCGTATTAAATTATCCCCAAAAGATTGTGTCAACGAAGGTAGTAAAGCCTAATTAGTTTATCGTTGATGGTCAGCAGCATCTAAAAGATTTCTTGTCAGATTACGAGCATTATTTCAACCGCAAATATGTAGGTGGCAGCTCGAGAGAGTGTGCGAGACATTTAGGCAAATTCCTGGCAGGTGAAGTAAAGGAAGTTTACAGCCGTTTGTGTACGTCGAGTTGCCAGTACTCGTATCTGAAAAGGGAGCTTCTACAATGGTATGAGACTCAAAGGATCGGCAAGAGATCTTATTGGCGACGAGAACTCAGGAAAGCGCAACTTTATCTGTACGGCATGCGTTTGATGAATATGGTCCTGCAAGGATACGAGAACGACAAGAAATTTGCTCGGGAAGCACGCGAGCAGTTTCTTCCATCAGTTCCTTCAAAGTACGTACACAGAGGTACGCACTATTGAGCGTCATAGCCGCATCGAACGAGGGTTTTCCGACAAACTTCCCTGGAAATCTCTAATGGGGCTGGCGCGCGACATGGACCAGACCTCTGGAGAGGCAGCTTGCCTCAGCTTAGATGACGTCACAGTGGGAGGAGTTAAAGTCGTAGCATGTCAAGTTGGGGACACAGTTCGTGTCTCTTCCACTCTGGGAAATAGGCTAGAGGTTGCCTCAAACAGCCCCGGATCTCATCCTAATCGGCGTTTTCTTCTACGGGGGCAACCTGTAACGACGATTTTTGCAGGTGGTGTGGAAAGTCTGGACACCGTGAAGACAACTGTAGAGCCAGACAGTCGTGCTACAGCTGTGACATTTTGCAGCCCAATGTCCGAAGAAAACAGATCTTTGCGCTGTCCTTCTTGCCAAGGCAAACGCCAAGGGAAAGTTTGTTTAAACAGGCGTTTAAACGAAGAGGCCCTGAACAATCGGAGTGCTCTCCAGGGCTACAAACAATAAATCCACCTCAGAGGACCTTAGTATTTCAGCGATCCTCGCGGAGACATTAGCAGTGGGAGAGGAACCGGTATTCCAAACCTCTTCTTCACTCACGGAGGCGACCGAGGAGCCGTCAATGACTGAGGCTGAAGGGTACTCGCACACTTCGGATTGCACTGCTGGTGATCCCGCTGCTGGGGCTGATTCTAATGACGCGACGTCAATAAGCATCGCTGAAGAAAATACGTCAAGAACGGGGTATTGTAACACGCCAGGGAAACTCGTTAACCTTAATCTCGAGTTAGTTTCATTGCTTCACGGTAGTATTTTTATGAATGATGTGCCTTACCTAGCTCTTCTTGATACAGGAGCGAGCAAAAAAATTGTTGATAGCAAATTATAGTAACAGAGCTAGGTTTGCAAGCTTGTTATAAACCAATCGATATACGTGAGATTGGCGAAAATTTATCAGTAGTATAGATAAGGGGTGTATCGTCACACTTTCCATAAACAGCTTAAATCATAGGTTACCACAATCATTTACCTTAAATCTTGCCCAACAATATTAACTAATTACCCCTGATCCTTCAATATTATTACGAACAATTACCGTGAATCTTGCCAACAAAATTAACCAAATACCCCTGATCCTTCAATATTATTACGAAAAATTACCCCCGAATCTGCATAAACAGCTTAACAGGGTACCGATCATGAATCTCATCCAACGAAATGAACCAATTACTCCCGAGTCACGAGTTAACGGTCATTTACCCCGATTTTACTACACTCTTTAACCGAGAATAACCTAGAGCGATTGCCTGAAAAATACTTCTTTGGAATATATACTTTCTTACATTGTAATCCTGAATGCTGATACAGTGTACTGTTAGGGTATATCACCAGCTCAATTCATTTATTTATACAGAGCAAACGCCCCGTTCCCACGAGTCATTTCCCGAGCCCCTCACAAAGCACGTTAAATCGGTCACATTTTTGTGAAAATTCATGGAAAAAAGTGATGGCGGACATAATTTCTGTGGAAGAAAATGTGCTGAGAAATGCACGGTCTGAACTGATTCAAGTTGTTGGAATGATCGATGAGGCGTTAAGAGACCCTCAATCATATCAAACAGTGAAAAATATGATCGAGGAAGATAGAATACACATCCCAAAAAATCTTCGTGTTTTTGTTAGACAAGTTTTCAATGTAATGAAGAGAAGCAGATTTCAAACACCGATGGAGCTGAATAATTGGTTAAAGAAGCATGTATTTGACAATCAACAGTACAGAAGTATTGAACCTCCTGCTTATACTTGTGATAGTTATGACGAAATTTTCGGTTATTTGATGAGATCTAAAAATGCAATAAAATCACAGCAGAAAGCTCTCCTCGCATATCAAATGCTCTTTGGATATTTCTTACACCTGTGTGAGAAACATTTTAATCAATATGTGTGCGGAGAAAAAAGGTCTACCTTGCAAACATTGTTAGCTGACCATATAGGCATCAGCATATCCTACACAAATCGACTTCGATGGATTGGCAAACTCGGATATCGGTTTCAAAAACTTAAATACTTTCCATATCCCTACACGAACTGTTCAAAAAGCAAAGGGATATCACGAATTTATTTAGTCATCATCCTTATCTTGCCAATGAGTGGAAATTGGAAGCACGGGAGATGGATATGGAAGCAGAGTAGAGGAGATGGATACAGCGAGCGCATAACCTATTGAGTCATTAGCGCTCGCCGAGCGCACAACCAAGTAGGTCATTAGCGCACGGCGAGCACATCCGGCTTGAGCTGCTCCAGCTCAGGGTCAGCTTCGCGCACCGACCATAACGCACCATTATTAGTGGCACGCAACGACTCAAGCCCGCCAGCAGGCATCACCAATTCAAGCATCGAGTCACCACCCACATTCAGTATCAAACTATATCTCAAACGTTTATTTTATTACCCTTTTTTAATCTTATCAAATAGATCAAATCAATGATTTTTCAATGTGTTTTTAATTTTTTTCTATATAAAATGAGAGCTATCGAATCATCTAATGTAGGTCACGCGAAAAAACACACCTTAAGTACCAAAACCCTTTGGACAAATTTTTTAAGTAAAATGGAAGTTGATAAATCATCGAATGT